AAAAAAAAAAAAGAAAAAAAAAAGAGGAAATGAGATGTGTTTTGTTATCCTCCCATGTTTTATGATTTTGTGGATGTGTTACAGAGATATGAAATAGTAAATGGGGTTGTCGAAGTGGAGGGTGTTAATGAAGCCCCGATGAACCAGGAAGAGGATAAAGAGGCTGGAAATGGTAAATGGATATTTTCTTTCACCCATGCATTTTTTTTATGAGGATCATCCGTCCATGCAGATTGATCTTGCCATGTGCTTTGATTTTTCATGGTGTCACATTTTGGTGCAGAGAAAGGTGTTCCCAACTTCTGGTTGACTGCAATGAAGACTAATGAAATATTGGCAGAGGAGGTAAATAACAAATGTGATAAATATGTCTTGTTTAAAATACCGGTTGTTTAACCGAGTGCAAATGATGGTGCTGTAGATCTCAGAGCGTGATGAGGAAGCTTTAAAGTACCTCAAGGATATCAAGTGGTGCAAGATTGATGATCGAAAGGGTTTTAAGCTTGAGTTCTTCTTTGATACAAACCCTTTCTTCACGAATTCTGTCTTGACTAAAACCTATCACATGATTGATGATGATGATCCTATATTGGAGAAGGCCATAGGGTAAGTTTTGACTTATACAAGTTTTGGTTTTACATACTGTGATCTTAATTTTTGTTTATTTACTTGATGTGGGATGTCTTGTAGGACCAAGATTGATTGGTGTCCTGGTAAATGCTTGACGCAAAAGATCCTAAAAAAGAAGCCAAAGAAGGGGTCAAAAAATGCTAAACCCATAATCAAGACTGAGACCTGCGAGAGCTTTTTCAATTTCTTTAAGCCACCACAAGTACCTGAAGATGATGATGATGATGACATAGATGAAGATGCTGTAGGTTCAACAACTTTTATTTTGTTCATTTACGCTGTAATTTAGAATGTTTTGTGTTCTTGTTTGGTGATTTTGTCTAATATATCTTGATAGGCTGAAGAACTTCAGAATCTAATGGAACAAGATTACGATATTGGGTCAGTTGCAGCTTTCCTCATAGCTTTGGGATTCCTTTTGAATTGATGTCCGGATTTGCTTTGAACTTGGTCTCAACAGCTTTTACATCTTCTATGAATTGAAAGAGTGAATCTGATGTTTTTTTTGGGGCTTCCATGTTTGCAGCTCGACAATTCGGGACAAAATCATCCCCCATGCTGTGTCATGGTTTACTGGTGAGGCTGCTGAAGGGGATGAATTTGAAGATATTGAAGATGATGATGATGATGATGATGATGATGATGATGAAGATGATGAGGATGAAGAAGATGAGGATGATGAAGAAGAGGAGAAGAGCAAAAAGAAGGTAAAAATTTGTTTTGGCCTGCTTCTACAAAGTGATAATATTATTTCCCTTATTTTTTCGCTGATCTTTTTCTTGTATCTGTCCATATGATTTATTCGATTGTCCTTGTAGTCTTCAGCACTAAAGGTGGAATGAGCAGCTATGATGGCAGTTATTTTAGGTGATTTCGTAAATCGCCTTCCATTTTCTTTAGTACGTGACTTTGTATTTATTTGATAAAAATGTAGAAGAGGTCGAAAGCACAAGTTGGAGAAGGTCAGCAGGGGGAACGTCCTCCAGAGTGCAAGCAGCAGTAGTTTGTTTGTTTTTTTGCCCTTAGCAGCTGAAGGAACTCCTACCTAGCGATTGGTATTTTAGTTTGCGTTGATCATGTTAGTATGTCTGCTCATTATTATTTTTGTTTATTCATTTTCCAGTCTTCTGTTTATAAAATCTAGTAGTGGGGATTACAGTGTTTGCTTGGGTTTAGCTTTTGCTTATCGTGAAAATTTCACATTAGATCCTTGACCTTATCTGCCTTTCCTCCCTCGTCCAAGGTTTCTATGTGGTGGTTTCAAAATGTGTTTCAGTTTAAACCTACAGTATTGCAAAAACTGAAGGAATTCAAGATGCTTTGAAAATTATTTATCCTGCAATGCGTGTAGTGTAAGGATATGTTTTCATATCCGTACTCATTTTTAACCACGCTTAAGAGTATGATGTACGTTCCACTTCCCATTTCTTCCCTGTGCTGCCAAGGAATAAGTTTTTGTAAGTTGACGCAAAGGTCATCGTGTTGTGTTTTTTAGTTTTATCTGACGTTGCTTCCTCACTGTTACTGTGACGACTTTTGGTTTCATTTCTTCTATCAAAGAACTGAATGAGAACTTAGCTGAAAATGTTGGACGGGAAAAATAAGACGGTGGACGAATTTGTCAACTTTTGAAAACTTGAGAAACGTTTCTTGTTAAATGAAATAGCATAAAGCTATAATTTAATGCAAGTGACACAATAGGAATGATAATGGTCAAATATCATCGGCTTCTGCAGTTCTCACTATTATAGCCATCATAAGACTTGGCTCGGTAGAGTTGTACCCGGCCACTTGGAGCTCGGTAAAATCTAACTGATCAGTGGTTGCACAATAGGTGTCGTACATGATCGATTATAGCGCGGCTCGATAGAGTAAAAGAGGTACATCTATATAAGGCAAAATAGCCTTCGGGTCACTTAAACTTGCACCCGTTTTTTTAACCCGGTAAAGGAACTTATGCGTTTCCGGTTTGAACACTTTAACTCATTCATTTGCACAATTTTAAAATTGACGTGAACACCATGATGTAATTGACGTGAACACCATGATTACCATGATTACCATGAACACCATGATTACGTTGCAGTAATGTAATTGACGTGGCAAAAATATGTGCTAATCACGTTTGTGAAGCGCGCGTATACACTGGTACGAGAGAAAAAAAAATACTAAATTACAAATAATAAATAGAGTGAAGTAAAAGCAAAAAAATAAAATTAAAAAATAAGGAAAAAGCCCCC